TCTGGGGGAGTTACGCCAAATGCTTCCATCTGTATATTCCATGTACTTTCACGTCACGGCAACCTTTTTGAAGAAAGAGAGACAGACTCCCGCTGACTCTTGGCTGGGCCCAGCAGGCGGCCCGCGATGGCTTTGGCAGGTCACTGCTTCCCTTGCTCTATTCAAAGGTCAACTTCTGTAGACATGGCTCCCCTGCTGGAATAAGGGGATGAACATAAACCAAGCACATGCCTCTCTCTCAGTGCGGGAGTGGAGGAACCCAGCAATAAAGGACCTCTATTTAATTTGGATCCTGAGACCAGAATAAGAGCTCAATAACGTTTGCTAAATGTGCGGGTGAATGAACAATTTGCTTGTGGTGTCGGAGCCTTTATTTAGGATCTTCATCTAGATGACCACTCATGTCCAGGCCTTGATTTACCCTGGACAACAGGCTGCCTTCAAATGAGCACAGGTTTGATGTCTGTGGAATCTGAAACCACATCATGGCTCTGTCTCCTGCCAGTTCTATGACCCGGGTTATGTCACCTGACTTCTGGGCTTGTTCCTTTACCACCGCTTAACGCTCTAGGTGTTTGTGGGATTAATTACTAAAGAACTGTTTGGCCACTGCTAGGCCACGTTGCCACACCCAGCTCAGCCTACTCCTGTCTCCAGGCCACCCAAGGGTGCCACAGAACATGGGAGCATGTGCGGGACAGAAGGTGCTCCAGCTCCTGTCGCCAGTGACTGGCACTGCCCTGGCCATTTATTTTCTTAAGTCTTTAGCAAATGTCTTTGAACCTTGCAGTTTGAGAGATGGGGTCGAGTTTCAGGCTCCGATCAGTACACTAAAGGCCTCGCTCCATCATTCTTCCATTTTCATTTTCACTATCCTCATTTTTCTCCTCTTTCTTTTACATTAGCTCTTCGCTTCCATTAACAAACATTTTTCTGTTGGAAGCTATGAAAAAGCTTGCTCTTTAACCAGTGAGAAGAGCGACAGGCAGGATGTTCTGGACCTGCCCATCACTACCCTCTCTTGAAGCCTGCACCCACTGGAGCTGTGCGCCCAGGAGGCCCATCTGCATTCTGTCACCTGCCTCTGGATTGGATCACAGGTCAGCACCAGCCCAGAGAGAAATCATCACACAGCAATGTGAACGAAGAGAACCAGAGCTGAAAGATATGGTTTCAAGCCGTGGAGCTGTACAGCCTTGCGAAGCTGGGGACAGAAGCAGTTGCAGGCTAAGCCAGAGCCCAGGCAAGCAGACATTACGAGGGAACAGAAAACCAAGAGCCAAAACGCAATGAAAGAAGCAGAGACAGGAGACGGCACAGTCTCTGAGACAGACACAGACGAGAAGAGCTACCCCAGCTCCCCATTTCCTATAAAGCCTGACCTTCCTGTCTCTGGTTCCATCGAAGTCCTCTGTTGTACACTAATAATCTCAATTTGTTTTTGAGCTTTTGTGAGTTTCTGCACCTGTAATCAAACACACTTCCAGGTGCACCTCCGTGTGTTCTTCCCAAGCACCTCTCTTCCCCATTGCGACCCCGAGACAAAAACAAACACCGGCACCAACCAGAACCTGGGCCGGGGAGGTGTTGCTTTGACCACACACTCTTTGCAAAACCACCACGCAGGAACCTCTACCCACCCTGACGGCTATTTCTCAAGAAGGAAAAGTTTATTGGATACACTTGTAGGTGGCAAAAGTCTAACAATGAGAATGAACTACAGGCCCACCCGTTTAGAAGATGAGCAGGTAAAACAAATTCACTGATTATATACAATCATTAAAAAGAGCAGGGTGGTGGAAAAAAAGGAAAAACTGCCAGCAGCCTTCCAGAAGGTTAGTAACAGAGGATGTCTGCAGGCACCTTCCCGCCCAGTCCCAACTGTGCCCCGCGCTTCCTGGGGGTTGTTGCCGCCGCTGCAGATGAAAAGCAGATGGAGAAGGGAGGCTCCGGCGGCTCCTGGGGCCGCTGGTTGGTCCTGCTCTGCCCGCAGCCGGACCTGGAGAACGAAGCGCCCCGGCGACGCGGCATGCACCACGCCTCTCGTTAAAAAGCCCCAAGGACAAGGTCGTCAGCATTTTCTAATACGGTTGTGGGAAGAGTCGGGGAAACACAACTTCGAGGGAAGAAACAGCGTTCCCTGCGGTCTGCGCACAAGTCCAGAGCCAGTGTCGTCCTAGACGACCCCCGAGGCTGGGCGGAGTACCGGGACCAGCGTGTCCGCTCGGGCTCCGAGCCTTGCGCGGGAAGCCAGCCCCCGACCCCCGTCAGCAGAGGAAGGGCGCCCACAAAGGGACAGATGCAGTTCTGAGTTGCTTGTAAGAAAAAGGGAGCCCTCCTGAGTTTACTTAAATAAGAGAGAGATCTTGGTGCACCCAAAGTGTTTCTATAAAAATGCGCTCAATGTCAGATAAAAGTTGCACATTCTCTTGGTGACGCCGTCAAATGTCCACTGAACTGAGAAGACAGAGAATTTAAACGAAGCCACTCCGAGAACCTGTCCCCGAAGGCGACGCGCACAGGCCCCTCCAGGACCCGAGCGGAGCGCGCGGGAAGCGGTGGCCCTGGAGGCGCGCGCTCTCCATCCCGGCGATGCGATGCGCGGTGCGGGCAGCGATGCGGGCGGCGGGGGCGGCCGGTCAGTCGCGGTGGCGGCGCCAGGTCCCCACCCGCTCGCACTCCGCGGCGGCGGCGGCGGCGGCGGCGGCGGCGGCAGGAGAGCGCGGGGGCGACTCCGGGGACGCAGGGGGCTCCGGGGCAGCGGGCTCCAGGCCGGGCCGGCTACCGTCTGCGCCGAGCTTGCTGCCGAAGATCTGGCCCTCCTTATCTAGAGCCGTGTTCTGAGAAGAGATCAGGAGACAGTTAGCCCGCCGCCTCGGTCCCGGCACCGCGAGCAGGGCGCGCAGAGCATGCACGGCGGGAACAGTAGAGGAGAAGTAACGCCCGGCTGCCCCCGACGGCGGCCCAAGGGCCAGCCCGTCCCCGGCGCCGCGGCCTCTGCTCCTACTGCCCTGGACGCGGCCTGGGCAGATCCTCCCCGGCTCCAGCTCCCAGCTGCCTGGGTTCGGGGCACTTCTCCCTGCGCCCCTGAGCCCAGAAGAGTCCCGGACAAGAAGCAAACCCCATAAGAATGCGAGGTCCCTGACAGCTAACTCTTCTAAAGGTTTCCCGTCGGGGATTCGAAGAGTACTCACAGGTCATCTGCAGTAAGCACCTCCCACCCACCCCCAACACGCCGGTGCTCCATAACCTATGGAAGCCCTGGGAATCGATGGTGCTGCATTACCCATCTTTCCATCCTCCACCATCTCCTCCCTGCTCTTCTCTTCTTTGTGCGGGTGTCTTATGCTGTCACACCCCCAAGGGCTTTAACCTGCTCCCATGCTCCAGGGGCGCAGAAGTCGTCTCACCTCCTGACCCTAGCCTGGGAGGTTGGCCCTGACCTGCCTTCCTCCTCCTCTGAGTGGGCTTGCGGACTTCTGCTGGGCCAGGCAGGCCCGGCCAGCGGCCCTCTCACTGGGTTTTCCAAACGTGCGGAGCTTTCGGTTCTCAGGCACCTTTAGCTACAAGGCACGTGGACCAGAAGTCCTTCTGTGGTCTAACCACCTTGAGGGGGAAATGCACCACTGATTCTTCCAGTACTCTGACTGGAAGGAAAAAAAAAAAAAAAGTCTGGAGAAAATATGAACAATGGGGCTTCCTAGGACAGACTTGGGCAGCTGCCTTTGGGCCTTTGGTGTCAACTGGAAGACAGATGCCCTCCACAGGCCCTTTCCAGCTCGGGCTGGATGCTCAGGGATTGCCAAGGACGATTTCCTTTACCTGGAGAAGAGGTAACTGCGGACAAGCCAAATCAGAAACTCAGCATCGCTCCTTAACAAGCTTCCAAGCTCCCAGTATGAGCAGAGGCCAGGCCACCCCTCAGTGAAAACACTGAAAGCGGGGAGAGGTGGCATTCACTTTTTTCTACCATAAAACTTCCCCTGGGTAGAAGAAAGCAACAGTCCCGCAGTTATTTCTCCTCTTCCCTTCCCGTCAAGAAGACGCATGTGTGCAGCGGAAGGAAGCACTGCTGTGCAGTTAGTACATACCATCGCCTGGGACCTAGTCAGAGGAAAGCAATGCAGGCGGCGTGAGAGGCAAGAGGAGGGAGGAGAGAAGCAGGGACAGAAACTAGACTTACTTTCAACAGAAGCAACACAGTCGAAACAGTTTTGTCTATCTTAAGCCCAAATCCTTCCCAACTTCCCCCCTGAAAGAAGCATAATCCCCGAGTGGGGAAGCACTCTTTTTGAATCCATCCTTTCTCCAGTCAGCTACAAGGCTACAAAATGCAGTGAGAAGGGGTTTCTTATAATTCCCTTTCCCACCACGAGATGGCCTCTTCTGGGCGAGGTGGTGAGCCCCCTCTGCAGGTGCACGGTCCTTTCTTAAGCATCTAAGGATAAGCCAGAGCAAATGCAAGTGCATTCTGAAACCACAGGCCCGTCTTAAACCAAAATCCTATCCAATCGCGTTCTCCTATCCCAAAGCCTAGCTGACCCTACACTGTCTTACTGATAAAAATGCATCTTTGGAAATGTATTTGCAGAAAGAGAACAAAAGCCTTCACAAAGGTTCCCATCTTACGCTCATTCACAAAAAGATGCTTTTTCAGAACTAAGTGAAAAACAGCCTTTAGCCGGAGAACGACTGGAGTTCTCCCGTGCACTCGCCAGCTTCCGGTCTGGGAAGGAAGGCAACGTGGCAAGGCGAGAAGTTTTAAGTAAAGTTTCCAAGGCTGCATTTGGCTGAAACGGGTGTCAGTAGGTACAGGAGACCTGCACCCATGAGGAGCTGAGAGCTGGATGCTGGTGTCAAAGTCCAAGAGAAGCATGCAGATTTAAGAGGGGTGACAATTAGAGGCGGCTCTGATGAAGCATAGCATGTTGAATACCAGAATTCTGCTCCAGGGTCCCCAGAGTCTCAACGGGGTACAGAGTGAAACTCTGAAGTGTCTCTCAAACTGTCAAATCAAACTGTCAAACAAAATGCAGACAACAGCATCAACTTGACTTTCTTGCACCGTTATTTACCATTCCTACCCTATCATTTTCTCACCAGAGCCTCAGGCTCCAATCCTTTGGCGGGGTGTGGGGGGCCAAGGCAGAGAGAACACTAGGGGTGGCAGCGGAGAGCAAGGTTCCGTCTGGGAGCGACACAGCCGTTCCTGAGGGCTCCGCCTCGGAACATTTATACCCTGTTTCCACTGCTATTTGTATCTCTAGGAAACCACATAAGCCTCACATACCCCAGTTATGAGAACATATAAATACCAGGGAGAGTCGTTTGTGAATAATGATTTTTAAGAAAACATTTGAAACTGTTCCCAAGGACAGGACACAAAGACACACAGTACTGGTGAAGAGAGCGAGGCAGACGACACAGAAGCCTTGCAAGCTGCCCGGACGCAACCACGCCAGGTCCTCGGGCGGGGAAGGATGAGCATGACATCCCTGTGGAGGCCTGCTCACCGCTGCTCTGGGGGACAAGCCAGAATTCACAGGCCAGCCTTTTGGCCATGGAGAACTGGTACCCCCAGAGGCAGGCTCTACTGATTCCCCCGTAGGCAGTGAGCGTGATGACGTCATCAGCACCTCCCCAGAGCTAACGAGCTGTGGAGTTGTGTACAGAATGCGGGGTTAGATGGAACCCTGCCAACATGCCCAAGATGACACTGAACACACACGGGAACACACACTTTTCACAATCACCGCTGGAATCACAATAAAGCGTTGTTCATTCACACAAACACCCAGTTAAAGCTCAGGAGTTTGAAATTTAACAGTTGAAATCCATCAGCAAATGGAAAAATGCCATTTGTAAACCGTGAGATGTAGTTTCTGTCTGAGAGAACCTAAACGTCCTTAACCAGAACAGAGCCTATACTGGGCCAAAAGGCAAAAGGGCTGATCATTCCAGAACTTTGGTGGGCCACAGGCCTTGGGCCATCCATTCCCATCTGGGCCGTGAGTTGACGGGTGACCCAGGGAATGAGGGGGGAGCTGCCGTAAGCCCTGGGCGCATTTTTAAATTTTAAATTTTTTAAATTTTAATTTTTTGTAAATTTCCCCAGAAGCTGCCTAACAACGCAGCCGGAGGCAGGGCGGTGACCCCTTACCCCAGCCGGCAGCCTTGCTCTCAAGGGTGAACCGCCTGAGAACTTTCTCATGCTCAGTCAAGATGGTTCTTTGCAAAGGGTTTAAGCTGACGCTCTGTGACAACTCTGACTTTCTCAGGCTCTCAGCAGAACACTGCTGAGATGCCAGGAAAACCACAGCTCAAGAGGCCTTCCTGCTCTTTCGGCCCGGAGTCCATCATCACCCCCACTTGCGAGTCCGGCAGCACATCAGCCTGCAAGCCTGGCCTGGGGGCTGGAGCGGGGAGCGCCGCCGCCGCCGCCCACCCCGGGGGAAGAGGACGGTGCGTCGGTGCCAGGACGGTGGTGGAGGCTCCAGGAGCAGCCCGCCTCCCGCACTCACGAGGGGGCGGGGCTTCTCTCTGCCTCTGTCTGGACCCGCGTCCTCGCTGGGAAGCTTCCGAGGCTACGGTGCGCCCTGAGAATAAGCAACTGTTTTCCTCCCAGTCGGTAGGACACGGAGCCTTTCCAGAGGGTGAGGGCCTGTCCTGAGGTCAGGGTGACGGAGCTGTCCGGCTCCGCAGATCCCCGCAGTACTGGGGTGGCCGAGACCCAGCTCAGGCCCCCCCCTCCGGAGAAAGCCTGACTCCTGGCCACGGCTCCCTGATCCTGTGCGCGGGACGGAGATCACGCCGAGGACCCGTGCTCTACACACGGCACCGGAGCAGGTGCAGACACGCCAGTTTCACGGCCCCACTTGGGCGAGGACTTGGGTCTGGACAGCTGGTGGGAGGGTGCACGCCACACTTCTGGCTCAGTTTTATTTTTTCTGCCTTCTCCCATTTGCTGAACTTACTTTAATGCCACTTTTCATCTGCTGTGTTTGTGGATTTAGGTAAAGCTGCCTTTTTAAAAACATTTTGGAAGAAGGAAGATTTGAAAAAATATGGGGATCACTGTTACTGACTTCTCATAAAATTTTACCAACCCTGAAAAAACTAATATATTTTTTTCATTCTTCTGAACTTTTAAAAACCACAAAACACTGACTTTTTTAAATGGAATTTGCTTAACTCTGGCTGTTTCCTATCCCAAGTTCCAAAGAATCATTCAAAGCTCAAATAATCTATTTCTGAGGCCTTGAGTAGTCAGGGAGTCACTTCCTTTTGCTGTTAAGTCCCACCGGGGCTTGGGAACTGCTCTCTAGACGGCAAAGCAGAGATGAGACAGAAGCAGCTGGCTGGAGGCCACCAAGCCCAGGAGAAGAGGCTGGGACGCCCCGGCCAGGGGCCCATCAGCCTGGCCTTGCTGGGACCTGCGCAACCTCTGATCCCAGGACCCAAGACCTGGGAGCCGGCCAAAGGGTGCCCTTCACGTGCCAAGCCATTCCTGAAGTGGAGAGGAACACGACAGCGCCCACGGCCGCGTGAGGGAAGCGCCTGGTGGCTGACTTGATAAGATTCGATGTTGGCCAAGCTGTCAGCCAGACGCTGCAGCTGCCCAAGGGCAGAACCACCCGTTCTACTTACCATGATAACGGAGACCCCGGTGGTGGTGCTGTTCTGTTTGGGGAGCGCGTTATTAAAGTGCTGTTTGAGTTTACCTGTTACTTCAGCCTGCATATTATTCTCCTGGGAGGCATCGTCCTACAGGAAAGAATCAAATACACTGCCTTTGATTCTCACGTCTATGTTGTCTCTTCCTCAGCAGTCACACACCAGCCGTCACCACCACCATCTCCTCCTAAATGGGCCCATCTGAGCCACAAGGTCGGGGGAACAACAATCTAAGTGAAGTAATTAGAAATGATTACCATTATTCACCAGTCCCCTGCCCTCGGAAAGACCCTCTGCCATTCACCTCCCTCCTTAGGTCTGAAGGGGGCCGAAGAGAGGGCAGAGGTCCCAGTGGCACAAGGACATTCTACAGGGTTCTGAGACCCTCCCCCCGCAGCACAAATGCCACCTAATTTAGTATAGAGCCCTCCCACGGAAACATCAAAATTAATGAACAGTTTATCATTTTAATCAAGAATGCAGGCAGCTGTTAGTCCTGATCGCTCATTTAAAAAATGTGGCATCTCAGCTACTTGGCCCAAGAGCCAAGTCACTTAGCAGGACCCAGAGAGTTTGAACGGAAAGGTCGGGATGTGTGGGACAGTGGGTGGCAGAGGTGCCTGGGGAGCCAAAGTCAGCAAAAGCCCCTGAATTAACGTCACTGTCCCAGAGCCTCCAGGACTGAGGGGGATGCAGCCTCTCCTGCTGTTGCCATTTCGTGGATCATGTTTACCACGAGCCCAGAGCCACTGCCCAAGCTCAGAGAAATTCCAGGCAACGTCACACATCCTCTGCCTGACTCTGGCAGGACCGCGTCCCGGCCATGCCACCTGCAGCAGGAGTGCTCCTGGGACCACGAGCCATGAAGACAGAGACCAGGGTCTGACACAGGCTCATCTCTGGGCAAATCCTAAAAACTCTCAAACCCCAGGATGACAGAAAAAGCTCCTTAGAGAACATCCTGGCCAAACCCTTCTTCTCACAGACAAGGAAACTGAGGCCCAGGAAGGGACAGTGACGTGCCAGGTCACTCACAGAGCGGGATCCTGTTGCCAACCGCTTTCTCCCAGAGAACTGCCTTCATGCTACTTGCTCATTAGAGAAAACAGACATTTAATCCTCCACGGAACTTGGATGCAGAACTTTGCCTGTGCAAAAGCCCTGGCGAGGAAGCACGCTGTTGGCCACAGGACACAGAGATGTTGGTTCCCCGGGGACGTGGGTACTTACTGATACCCAGGGGTGACTCAGGATCTGTCCCGCAGTGCACCGCGCTTCAACGTTTACCTGAAGCATTTGACTGATTAATTCCTGGAAAGAAATAAAGAAGATGATAGAGCAGGCGAAAGGGGGTAATTCCAGCATCAACACAGAAATCTTGAGTTTGCACCAAGTACTTCAAAGAACAGCCAACACAGCTGCTCAGCTGTTTGAATGCAAAAGCTATTATCACCTCCACTGCCCGTGCCTAGGAGGCAATTACGCAGACACAGCTGCCTCGTGTCAGCGGCACTGAGAGAGGAAGAGGTCTCTCCCGAATCTACATTAAACCCAAGATGTTCTCTCCTAAGAGTTCCGGCCATTGTCATCATTCCACAGCGCAGAACTGCAGTGCTGCTCCTTTTGGCAATTCAGCAGGTCTCACAAATCCACCCCTATAGTCTGACGGGTGTCCGTAACACATTTCTTGAATAAATGAAAGAACAAACGTTTAGGGCTTAGAGGAGCTCTGGAGGACGGTAGCGGCAAACTGGGAAGACAGCCAGTCCAGCTTTCAGAATTTGGTTAAGTATTTCAGAGACCACACTGAGGAAGGAACTTAATGAAGAACCACACATTAAAAGTCAAGACAGGGCTTCCCTGTTGGCGCAGGGGTTGAGAGTCCACCTGCCGATGCAGGGGACGCGGGTTCGTGCCCCGGTCTGGGAAGATCCCACACGCCGTGGAGCGGCTGGGCCCGTGAGCCATGGCCGCTGGGCCTGCGCGTCCGGAGCCTGTGCTCCGCAACAGGAGAGGCCACAACAGTGAGAGTCCCGCGTACCATAAAAAAAAAGAAACAAGAAAAAAAAAAAGTCAAGACAGACACGGAGCTCAACACCAAGAGCTGCTACAGCCCCACACAATGGGTGAGGACCCTCAACACGACACAACCCCTAGAAACAGGCCTGGATGGGTACCTTGGCTGAGTCCGTGATGTTGTCCCAGTAGGGGGCCGGAAACTCTAGCTTCCCAGCCAAGATCTGGTCGAAGAGATCTTCCTGGAGATTGTTCTCACTAAGTCAGTGATGGAGAAAGAGAGAAAGAGTCAGAGTCACCATACAGTTTTTAACAAAATGCTCATGGGAAGAGGCAGGGAGAAGTCCACTCTCTGGCTTGGGCATTTCATAGCTCAGCCTGTGGATCTCAACTGCATTTGGGATGACACTCTCCCTTTTAGACAAAGAACCGAAGAACATTTCCATGGGCCATGAGGGAGGTGTGTGTGTTGGGGGAGAGATGAGGAGAGACGGGGGGCAGAGGGAGGGG